TTCCTGCTTTTGTGGACAACGTGCAGTTGCAGGGAGCCCTTGTAATCAGTTTTCCTTACCGATAAGGTTAACCAGCATATCCCACTGTCCACCGTCATTTGTGGGGTTGGTAAGCAGGAACTGTACCAGTCTGCCTTCCACAGGTTCCTTTTTCTGAGCGGTTTCCACAAAGGCATTTAACAAATAGTAACAGCGCTCCACCTGGAACAGAACAGCCGGGGTAACAATCGTCACTTGTGACATAACGTATGCAACTTCATTTCTGTGTTTCTCTGGCTTTTTGAAAAGCTTACCAGGCAAGTCTGTGGTTTCCCTTGCCACTATATATAATCTTACTTTCTCACTGGTTCTCTAAGTTTCACTCTGTAACATCATTTCTATTACAATCAAGGAGTCCGTGGGTACATCTACACGAGATGCTAAAAGCACAGGAGAGTAATTCCACTGTGCATTAGTGCATCACGGCAAAAGCTGTGCTAACCCACAGCAGAACGAATCTACTGCGCATTAGCACCACTAAAAGACCGTGTGCTGGTGCTACTGCACAGTAGTGCCAGTTACTGCGCATTGCATTAGTAGCTGTTGTTACAGGTACTAAACTGAATGCACAGGAACAACACAGCATTAATGCACGTGTAGATGTGCCCATGGGGTCTGAAAGCAGGAGGATCAAAGTGAGATGGGATGGAGGGGAACAGAAGTCGTAGGATGACAACAGGCTCTGTTACTAGTACAAACAGCGAATATCAGAAAAGTGCATTAGCTTCCACTGGTAGGTCACAGAACGTAGAAAGAGCCGTGGTGGTACTCCTATCCCACTTCCCTTAAGCACCTTGAGAGGACCTGCACATCCTCAAAGAAAAAATCCCACTCTTCCAGGAAGTTAGTTTTAAGATCAAACTGCCTATTTCTTGCTCCCCTCCCTTGCTCTGAAGAATAACTTTCAGTCTATCCCATTAAAACATTTATTTTACAACTTCATTCATTTCATATGTTTCTTCCTCGACTGCTAAGTCAGTTAAAAGCTGTACCCCGGCAGTTTCCACTAAGGAGGGTATATGTTCAACACTGCTGTACCTTATCCCAGAAAAAGAGGTATGCCTGGCTGAACTCAAACTCTTCGAGGTTGAACTTCTTCATGAAAGGGAGACGCATCACATTCAGACATGAAAAGATCCAGCATCTCCCTGAAAGAGTGCAAAGGAACAAAGTTAAGCGGTGAAGCTTTTCATGAAGATTTGCTGAGGCTGCATTTAAATAAAAGGTTTATAGCATGCTGTTCGACTGAATAGATGGAAGAATATATTGCAATATTGAGCCAGGACTAAAAAGGCTGAAAAAACTAAAAGACAAACCTGGCAGAGATCTTGATTTCTGGCCCCAGGTTCTGTCTGCAGCCCCCTTCCGGGCCTTTGAGAAAGGAAAACTGAACTAAAGAAAACACCTATTACTTAACTCCCCAGGATGTTACAAAGCTTCAGTAATTCATGCTTGTAGGGCACTCTGAAGAGGAAAGTTGGTTCATAAATGCCAAGAATGATTATAAACCAACTTAAAAAAAAAAAAAAGCCATTTTAGGCTACTCTTGGAAGTCCCTACAGAACAGCGATTTCTAGTATCAGAAGACAGGAATGAAATTTTCTTGCTTGCAAAACTCCAGAATCTGTGCTTGGAATAAAATATGTTTAAAAAGTCTGCATCAGGTGGAGATACACACCTTGGAAATACTTTATCCAAATTGCCAGCCTTCATACCTACTTTTAGGTGAAAGCAGGCAGCCTTAAAACTGCCAGAGGTCCATCAGTTGAGCAAACCTTGTTTGGCAACAATCCAGCGCCGCATCAAGTGGCAAACCGCAGAACAATGCAACTTCCAGGCAGTTCTTGAAAGAGCGCAGTTTCATCTGGAGCCCCCCACCCCGAGGAAAGCATCTGGCCCTGAAAGGTGCTCTCAGGAAACCCAATTTCAGGCTTCGCAAGGAGCGCGGGGAGATTGACAACACTGCCGCAGAAGCCGCGGGCACTTCTGCAAGCGGCGCTTTCATTTCAGGGGTGTTGGCTGTAGCCGTGCTGGTCTAAGGACAGCGGCAGACACGGGTCTTTGGGCATCGCCTCGACCCAAAGAACCTCGACTTGCATTTCAGCACACGGCACCCAACGCCAGCTCCAAATTAGCAGGCAGGTTTGTCTAAATTGCGGACGAGGGAAGGCCACAGCTTGTCAAGAACCGCCCTTACCTGAGGTCTTCTGGTTGGTGACGGGCTTTCCCTCCACGGGCACGGCGTGCTGGAAGACGTGCAGGGTCTCCTGCACCACCTGGCGCTGCAGGCAGACCTCCAGCGGGTCGTTCCAGGTCGTCACGTTTTGGGAAAGCACGTAGCGGGGCTGGCACTTCAGCCTGGAGGTGAACTCCGCGGCCCGGGACAAGCTCAACCCTGTTGGCAACAAGCATCACACGGGGAGTCAGAGCCCGGGGGG